ACATATACTGAACTAGTATGTATATATACATGTGTATTACTGTTTCGTCTTCTACATATACTGAACTAGTATGTATATACACTTGTGTTACTGTTTCGTCTTCTACATATACTGAACTAGTTTGTATATACACGTGTATTACTGTTTCGTCTTCTACATATACTGAACTAGTATGTATATACACATGTATTCCTGTTTCGTCTTCTACATATCCTGAACTAGTATGTATATACACATGTATTCTTGTTTCGTCTTCTACATATACTGAGCTGGTATGTATATACACATGTATTCCTGTTTCGTCTTCTACATATACTGAACTAGTTTGTATATACACATGTATTCCTGTTTCGTCTTCTACATATACTGAACTAGTATGTATATACACATGTATTTCTGGATCTAAGTTTCAAATGAACAGCAACTGCCTGTTGTAGAAACCTACAAATGTAGAGGACGACGTTTCGAAAGTCTTCCGCGTTTCGTCTTCAGGTCATATTTGTTTAAACGGATAATTTGTTTTGAATTTCGCGCAAAGCTACACGAGGGCTATCTGCACTAGCCGTCCCAAATTTAGCAGTGAAAGACTAGAGGGAAGGCAGCTAGTCATCACCACCCACCGTCAACTCTTGGACCAACGAATAGTGGGATTGACCGTAACTTTATAACGCCCACACCGCTGAAAGGGCGAGCATGTTTGGTGGGACGGGTATTCGAGCCCGCGGCCCCTCAGAGCCAATCTTTTTTTTAAACAAATCTTTATTTACTGGCCTTCTACACGTTTCCAATAAGAAGAGTAGCCTTTGAACCACACAACCTGTCGACGAGGCTTTTCCATCAGTACCAAAACACATCAGGTCGCCTGATTATACAATACACAAACCCTTGGTTGAAATGTTGTTTACACTAGTCGTATTTAAGATCAGTTATTATGGGACATAACGGCTGATGCCACTGTTTGTAGATCGGTTGTTCGTGTGATATTAACATACAGTATGATAACAACTGATACATTAATATAATGTTGACCGAAGCTATGATTGCAGAGTTATAGATGTCAGTTCTAATGTAGCTTATATTTTACATAAACTTAAAACTCAATAAAACACTTTATACAGGTCGTTATAGAAGTGTTCCATTCAATACCGATAATTACAACAATAATGATGTTAATATTTAGATTTTAACACTGGTTTGATGAAAGACTGTTAATAATGATGTTCATTTTTAGGTTTTAACACTGGTTTGGTGAAATACTGTTAATAATGACAACAATAATGATGTTAATATTTAGATTTTAACACTGGTTTGATGAAAGACTGTTAATAATTACAACAATAATGATGTTCATTTTTAGATTTTAACATAACAATCAATATCATTATTGTTGTAATTATTAACAGTATATCACCAAACCAGGGTTAAAACTTAAAAATTATCATCATTATTGTTGTAATTATTAACAGTCTATCACCAAACCAGATTTACCTCTTTAGTGGACTATTTCATGTGCATATACAACAACGTTTAGTTAGCTCTTCCATTTACCTCTTTGGTGGGACTATTTATTTTAATACACAATGGTGTTTCACTGTTTCATTTTTCTCTTTAGTTGGAATGTTTCTTGTGCATATACAACAATGTTGAACTGTTTCGATTTCAATAAAGTGTTTGTTCTTCAAAAATGTTATCTTGTCTTATTCTTAATTCGTTCTTCAAGTAGTGTTAAAAACCTCTTCCATTTACCTCTTTAGTGGGACTGTTTCATGTGCATATACAACAATGTTTAGTTAGCTCTTCCATTTACCTCTTTAGTTGGACTATTTCTTTTGTGTATACAACAATGTTTAGTTAACTCTTCCGCTAACTAAACATTGTTGTATATGCGCATGAAACAGTCCACTAAAGAGATAAATGGAAGACGTAACTAAACGTTGTTGTATATGCAAAAGAAATAGTCCCACTAAAGACGTAAATGGAAGACGTAACTAAACGTTGTTGTATATGCAAAAGAAATAGTCCCACTAAAGAGGTAAATTGAAGAGCTAACTAAACATTGTTGTATACACAAAAGAAATAGTCCCACTAAAGACGTAAATGGAAGAGCTAACTAAACATTGTTGTATACACAAAAGAAATAGTCCCACTAAAGAGATAAATGGAAGAGCCAACTAAACATTGTTGTATATGCACATGAAACAGTCCACTAAAGAGGACGCAATAGCAATGATCATCCATAAGTAACTTCCAGGACAAGTACAACAACATCTAATCGTTTAGTTAATTGAATTCAAAAAGAAACGCCAACTCCCAAAAACTATGAAAGTGCGATCCACAAAATATTTTGTACAATATTTCCGTTACGTATTCTGACTAACTTACCATTCGTACCAAAAACTATACGCTTCAGAATCATATTACAAAGCCTACAGCTTAATAACAAGTGAAAGATATCCGAAACTTTGTTTCGTGGTTTTTAAACAACAGGTTTTCCTAGCCTGCCGAAACACTTTAACAGTAAAAATACACTAAAACACGATCACATATGATACAAATACCAATAAAAATATATTAAAATCTTACACTATAGTTTGAATACAACTAACACGCATTTTCTTTTTCTTTTTCTTCAAATATTCCAAGTTAAAACAAGTTGATCTGACTTTGGCTTTTCGGTTTCTCCCATCAGCATTCGTATCTTCAAAACCTTTATTTGATAAGGTCGCTAATTCTGAACTTCTTTTCTTATTTGTCCCCCAGTGGTACAGCGGTAATTTTACAGACTTACAAAGCTAAAAATCCGGGATTCGATTCCCCGAGGTGGACACACCACAGAGAGCTTAATGTGGCTTTGCTCTAAAACAAATATTGTTTTTGCTTCTAATCTTATTTGTCCAGAACTTAATTGTTATAACAGATACACGTGTTCAGATTTTAAAAGCTCAAAAAGCGTTGTAACATTTGAGTTAATTTTTTTCCTCTCTTCAAATGGAACTGAATACCAATTCAAAAGGCCAACAAGCTAGAGACATTGATTCCAAAGCGCTGTTCAATTCGGTTGGAATCTCAAGTATACTTTCACTCGCAAAATTACGCCTACTACTCGGTTCTGTGTTTCAAATGAACCAATTTTACAACTGAGCAGATTCTATTACTAGATAAAAGTAAGTTTCCACTGATCCATCTTACCACGAAACGTTCTATACGTTTCAGAATAAATTCTCTTCAGGAACGTTGTGCTATTATATTAAGAGTAAGAAAGACAAAAGTCGACGCTTTTTGAGCACAATGAAAGGTCAGGTATTTATTACTGATTATAACCGACTAGTTTCGGTAACACAGTTACCACCATCAGGGCTAATATCTACAGAATTATTTTAGCCTAATCCATACTATAGAAACTAATTAGCCCTGATGATGGTAACTGTGTTATCGAAACTAGTCGGTTATAATCAGTAATAAAGATCTGACCTTTTACTGTGCTCAAAAAGTGTCGGATTTTGTTTTACTTTTAATGTTTCAGACTAGCTGGAACTCTTGGATCACTTTTATTTACACAATGAGTTTACAGTTTTGTCTTATCACAAGAATATTTAATAAGCCTTAAAAACACTTTATGCAACACACATGGGCTATGGTCAAAAATCCCCAAGGTTCAGGCATTGTAATCCCTAATTTAAAACTACTGGCCAGAGGGAGGGTAGCCCGTCAGTAGCACCCGCCGCCTATTGTACTATCCATTTGAACAGAATAGCTACATTGACAGCAACATTCATAAAATCCAAAGATGTGAATGTGTGGATGGAGCGAGTTAAGCGGCATATCACGGTTCGAACCTAACCAATAGGCCTCGCCTTCATTGTTTTCTCTTTTTGTGTTTGTAGAGCAATAAAACGTTCTCACATGTTATTGGCTATAGTTTGAATACCATCGTTTAGCTACTCGTCATTATTAGATTCTATCGATAAGATCGCTATGCTTAGTCATAAAAAAGTAAACGTTAAATATGAAAAATAAATTAATTGAAAAAAGTGTGTACTTTTTAATTCGTAATTGAATACTTGTTTGATTATCTTTATAGAAAACACGTGCGACTTATTGTATGTTTCTTTGAAGTTAAGCACAAAACTACACAATGGGCTATCTGTGCTATGCCCACCACGGGGATCGAAACCCGGTTTCTAGCGTTGTAAGTCCGCAGACATACCGCTGTGCCACAAGGGGGCATGCGGCTTACATCACGATTTGATTTTGTTGGATTTCACCGTTCCTTGTCGAGCCGGGCGTTGCCTAGTGGTTAGCATACCCGGAGTGTGATCCCAAATGTTTATGGTTTGCGTCCCTCCTACCATAAAAACGCCCTCCACACTTTGGGGATTGTGAGTGTGTTATAAGAATGTCAGTCAAACCCTGCATTATTTGGTCAGAGAAGAGTAACCCAAAAGTTGGCGGTGTGTGCTGTTGGCTAGCTGTCTTTCCTGTGGGCTAACTTTGCCCGAAAATTTTGAAACATGACAAAACTGAAACAGAGATCACTCGTATTTTGTTTACGTATGTGTTTGTATGTTTGTAATTCATCCCAAAGCTACACAATGGACTATCTGTGCTTTACCCACTACGGGTATCGAAACTCGATTTTTAGCGTTCTAAGGCCTCAGACTCACCGCTGAGCCACCAGACGGATTGTTTATGTAAAACAATAACACCTGCGAGAACGATGCACTAGTTTCTTTGTTTGTAATTAAGCACAAAGCTACACAATGGGCTAATCTGTGCTCTGTCCACCACGGGTATCGAAATCCGGATTCTAG